TCAAAATCCGATTGAGAACATTTGGGGAATATTATCACGTAAAATTTATGCTGAAAATCGACAATATGCAACCGTTTTTCACCTTAAAGAAGCTGTTATCGATGCCTGGAAATCAATAACTGAAGAAATAAGAAAAAATCTGGTTGAAAGTATGCCTGAACGAATTTTCGAATTGATTCAGAAAAATGGCGGGCTTACACATTACTAAAATCTCATTTTTCTTTGAATTTTTGCATTTTAAGTTAATTGTATTTATAGTTATGAAACACTAAATAATTTTGTTAAAATTTTTTAAAGAGTATAATAAAAAAGAACTGAATTGTTTTATTAATTTTAAAAATAACACTTCATTCTTATTTCGTATATTTAGGTAAAAATGTTCTCATTTCCTTTAACTTGCAAAATTATACGAAAATATGTTGTATTTATAGTTATGGGACGCAGTGTATTCAAAATAATTCACTTCTTAATTTAACTTACAGTGTAAATTATAAATTACAATAAACATATGCAAAAAATTTTTTGTGAGAATTTCTTAAAATTTCACAAAACATCTCAAAACTAAATTTTTGCAGTTCTCTAGAGAAATTAAACTTTAAAGTTCATTAATTATAAAAAGTGCAAAATAGAAGAAAAAATGCCAAAAATGCACTTTTAATGCTAAAAATTTCTAGCAAAAGACGAAAAAGTGCTGAAAAGCATCTAGCACTTTTTTCTAAAAAATAAGTGCAGCCGACGAAAATAAAGTGCTAGAATTGCACTTTTAATGCCGTTATGGCAACACTGTGTGTATGTATCAATCACTCAAGGAATATTTTCCGTTATGTTTTGTATATAAGTATTTAAATAATTGAACGAAATTTGTTTCCAAACAGTCCACAATTGGTCATAGCTCTCACATAAGATCCAACAAGTTCCACATATGCTAAAAGAAATTACTAAATGAGAGTACTCTCACTATGCCGAGTTATCTAAAAACTAGATAGTTAAATGTGTTTTAATAAAAAGTAGCTTGCTGGGGAAGGGAATATATGAGCAATTACAAAGTTTTTTAATTCCTTTGAAATTAAACTAAATTGTTAATAACTTTGGTAAGAGTAAAATGTCAAACAAATTTTTTACACAAAATTGTAAAACTATAGGTCTTTATTTCTAAACGTAATCTAATTTTTTCACCTTCTTTTTATTTTTTGGTCCATAGCTTTACACTTTTGGACATTATTCGTTATAGTGCTAACTAAAGACACTTAGGAGATAATTTTTTTACAAGCTTATCCGTGTGATATCACTTTACGTATTAGAACTTGGATGTTGAAATTTTTCCAATTTTGAATTGTTTACAGTTTTTTGAACGGACGCTGACGCCCCTTAATAAAATACAAAAATTGGGACAACAGCGGTTAGCTGTTAATGTGCCCTGAATGGGAGATGGGTACGACAGCTACAAAAGTTGAAAAACTTGAACGTAAATTTTTTAAAATATCAGTTTTTAGCGCGGCACATTCGCACTTATATAGGAAATAATTTGAATTATTGCGTAAATTGAGTTTTTTGTTATTTTGAAATATAAAATCGGAGGAGCATGCAAAAATATTCGAATGCAAAAATTTTATGAACTTTTTAAAAATTTTGCAAAATTTAATTTTTTATTTTGGCGATTTTGTATATCAAACATCGACTTATACAAACATTTAATAAATAGACATGAAGATAATGACATACCCAATGGTTTGCGATCATAAATGTATTTAAAATGTCATTGTAAGCTACAAAGGCGTCACTTTTATCTAAACACATTTTGCCAAGGCACATCATGGATGATGCTTAAAATTCGTAAAAATTACCACCATTTGCAAGTTTTCTTAATACTTTAATGTAAAACTAGGGCGCATCAAAAAAGTTAAATAATTGTTTTTGTGGGCCAAATAAAATGTACCTAGCATCAAAAAGCATCACTCTATAAATATTTAATTCCTTCAAACTATAATTTTTTAATTGCATTCCCTTATAAATTAAGCTCGTAGAATTCAGATATTAACAGTTTTTTCTTAAATTTTACTAATTCGCGATTTTCCAAAGACTATAAGTAACAAGTTAAAAAATTACTGAAATGAAATTTCTTACTGTGTATTTTTAAAAAATTTTAAAATAAATCTTATGGTATGTATTAAATGCACTAAATTTGAATTATTTTTACAAATATGTGCAATTTTTTTTTCAAATATTACATATATAAATACTATTTTAAATTTATTTTTTTAATATTTAAATGAAAACCGCTATAACTTTTGCACCCCTCGAACAAAATGGTCAACGCGAACGGATTCATCACGTATTACGGTGTGTTTATATTAAAACAAAATATTTGAATGTGCTACCAAAAATTAATTTTTGATTTGAAATTTTGAAAAATTGATTTGATTATTGCTCATATAAATATATATATAAAAAACAAACTTCCTTAAAAAATATATGTATAACAATTTCATGTTTTTCTGAATGGTATCTTTGTGAGAAATATCTTGGTATAAAAAATATGTCCTATTTTTTTAATATCTCGCTCCTATGCCCTTCCGAATTTTACCTATTTTTTATCAAAATTTCCAATTTGGGCCACATGTTCTACAATCCTAAAGCTGGGATCAGAAAACTGAAAGCAGTTTCGGAAGCCTTGATGTGTTTCCTATTAATCCTCAAAGTATTTTCTGGTTGAAATTTAAAAAATACCATTTTTGGGATTTTCGTTCTAATTTGATTTGAAATTTTGAAAAATTGATTTGATTATTGCTCATATAAATATATATATAAAAAACAAACTTCCTTAAAAAATATATGTATAACAATTTCATGTTTTTCTGAATGGTATCTTTGTGAGAAATATCTTGGTATAAAAAATATGTCCTATTTTATTAATATCTCGCTCCTATGCCCTTCCGAATTTTACCTATTTTTTATCAAAATTTCCAATTTGGGCCACATGTTCTACAATCCTAAAGCTGGGATCAGAAAACTGAAAGCAGTTTCGGAAGCCTTGATGTGTTTCCTATTAATCCTCGAAGTATTTTCTGGTTGAAATTTAAAAAATACCATTTTTGGGATTTTCGTTCTAATTTTTGGGATTTCCTTTGACCTTTTCACAAATTTTAAAAACGTTGAAAATTTCATTAAGTTTTTTTATTACATACATATAAAATATGTATGTATTTGTTGAGTTTCTAAAACTAAAAATTGTATAAAAATATTAATTATATAAAGATGCCCTTCAGAAAAACATAAAATTGTTAAAGAAAGTTTGTTTTTAATAAAAAAGAGCTAGGCACCTTTTCGCCCAAAAAATTGCAAAAATCTAACATTTGTTGAATTTTTAAATTGAAAATCTTTTAATGCTAATGCGAAAAAAATTTGGTATGTTTTTAATAATTATTGTATTGAACACGAGAAAAATAAAAAATATTGTTCTCAGTTCTCTACCAGCTATTGAAAATACTGACTAATTTTTGAAACTAAAACATTTTCGATTTTTTTGAAATGGTTCTCGAAAATTCCGTAATTTTGAGCTGATTACGTGAAAAATTATTTTAAAAATTGTAGAATATATTTGGTCCACAAAGTGATTTTTAGTGGGTTAGAGGGGCATTTTGTTATATCGAAATGGATGTCACAATTGTCGTAATTTTTAGTTTATACTGAAAAATATTCAAAATATAGTTTGGCATTTGGTTTAGTCCATTTCAGAATTTTTTGAAATTTATATGCCCCATATAATACAATAAAAGACGTTTTGCGGGCCAAAAATACTCTAACAACAGTTTTAATTATTTTTCCCGCGACAAGCTTAAAACTACGGAATTTTTCTTTCAAGCATGTGTTGGGCTTTACAAAAATATAAAAATCTATGATATCGGATGGGAAACGAAAAAAAGGCACGCGTTTAAATATTTTATATCTCGAAGGTACCCTACTTTGAGTGGCAATAGCGCCGCCCCTGAAGCATTTGTGGGGTCCATTTTCATAACTTAAACTCGAATATTCCTTGGCTACATCCACGTCTGTTTAACAAAAAAAGTTTGAAAAGCTAACAAATATTTTAAATAATAAAGAAAAAATAATACCGAAGGGACCAGGTTCATTAAAAATCCTATTTTATGTAAAATTCAAATTTAATTCAAAATTTCTCAAAGTCGATATCAAATTATAGTAACCCATTTTAGATGGCCCAATATGTTCTTAATTACTTTGTTAAGGGTTTCGATAACTCCGCCCCTGGTATAAATCGAAAAAAATCGTGAAAATCTGCAAAATAAAAGTAGGGTGGACAAAAATATTGATAATGTAATTTTTAATTGCTAATATTTCCTAAGCTATCAGCTATGTATGTAGTGGTCGATGTGGAGAAGATCGAAATTACAGAATTATTTCCCTCTATTTTTCTATGCCATTGTTCGGCGTTTATATTGTTGTTATTGTTTACTTTTGTTTTTGTCCCGTGCGACTGTCTCGCTGTTTTGTAATTATCTTGAAAACGAAAATTGATCCAATTATAGTGTTAATTGTGTTTAACTTCTTAATTGTGTTTAACTTCTTGCACTATAATTGAACCTGTAATTTCGAAAAGGGCATGTTTTGTGTAGAAAAATTCTGTGGAACGATAATTACTTAGGTGTTCAATTTTTTAGCCATAATAATCAAAAAAGATTAATTTTATGGTAAAATAGTTACAAAGTTTTCGTTTTAAATAATTCAGAGACACAGAGCAACCAATTAAAGTAGTCCAATTGCCCTATTTTTTTCCTAAAATATGTTTTTATAACCCAAAGTACAACAACATTACCTTTGGAATCTAAATATGGAGTGACCACCCTGAATATAAATGTTAATAAAAAATAATAATTATAACAAAATACTAAAAATATATGTACCTACATATGTGTATATGTGAATAAATACCAACATAACTAGAGAAATTCATAACTGTTTAAATTTTCATAATCTTTATTTAGGCCTCAGTACAAATGCAACCAACTATTTGACAAGTCAATCTAAGGCAGCTGGATCAACAGAAGCATCTCGGACAGCAAATGTGCCGCTGGGAAATGCTCCAACAACGTCAACTAGCAGTTCTACAAACGGTGTCAAAACTACATCTTCTATTTCTAGACCTCTTCAAAATGTAAGATCAAAAAATGAATACAATGGCACCCAAAATAAAACAACATGTCAAAAACTGATATACATACATATATATATTTTTATTTTGGGTTAAAATTTCATTTTATTTGAAATGTGAAAGTGTGTAATTAAAATATTAAGTATGTATGTATAAACTTTATTTCATTATCTATTACAAATATTTAAGTATTTTTTATATTAAGCGAACTGTTTAATTTTATTATTAAAGTCAGATTCACAATGCTAGCAACAATTTTTTCCATCCATTTCTTTTTATAAAACTGTGGACTTTTTACAAAACCACTTATTTGAAAAAAGCGAATTTTACAGGAGAGCAGAAAACACTTAACATTGCAAAAAATGTTTCAAATTTCGAAATAAGTTGATTTGATTAATATCTTCGGATCTAGAGGCATAGACTCACCCCGACTAGGCAGAAATATCCGCCTTTAAAAGTTGTCAACGTCCACGTTGATATACATACATATATGTATTTGCCTTTCATTTTCAGTACAAAAAAATTAAACTGAAGTTCTGTGAAAAAGTTAAGCATACTTTAACTACAATTTCAATTTGTATAAAAAAATTGTTGACGTTTATTCTATATCATAGCTGTTAAACAATAATAATCCTTATTATTAAATTATTGTTATTAAAAAGGTAAAATTATTGATTAATAAACGATTATTTAAAATTTTTTTGGAATGATAATTGATTGGGATTAAAAATAATGTAATCCCTCATTATTTTTAGATTATCTTTTATTTAAATTAATGAATATAATCTAAAATAATCAAAAATATTATTTTATTATTTTCAAGGATTAATTTTTAGTATTTTTGATTATTTTTCATATACATATTTAGTATAATTACTTCCTTTTTTATTATTTATTATTGAATTGAAATACAGTGGACGTCAAGTAGTACGAATGCTCTTTATTACGAATGGCAAATGATGTCAAAGGAACATACATAATTTATTAGTTCCTGACAATAACACTGATAAAATCAATATTGAAATTAAAAAAAAAAATATTGAAAAGTCTCCATTAAAAGCCAATGTTAAATGACGGATATTTTAATAAGTAATCGTTGCCGATTATATTTATGTAAGTCACTAAAAAAGTACTTAAAAGTAATGCAGACGGATTGTAGTACTCATTTAAAAGTAATTTGTTTTGTAAATGCCAGTAAGTATAGAAGTATATTTTTTTTCCAAAAATCAAAATAAAATCTAAATATTTAATGTATATTATTTGAATTAAAACATAAAAAATGTGTTGTTCAATAATACGAATTTTTCGGTACTACGAAAGAGCATGTCAATGTACATACGTATAATTCCTACTATCGGTCGTCCACTGCATGTACATATGTATGTATGTATGTATGTATGTATGTATGTATGTATGTATGTATGTATGTATGTATGTATGTATGTATGTATGTATGTATGTATGTATGTATGTATGTATGTATGTATGTATGTATGTATGTATGTATGTATGTATGTATGTATGTATGTATGTATGTATGTATGTATGTATGTATGTATGTATGTATGTATGTATGTATGTATGTATGTATGTATGTATGTATGTATGTATATATGTATGTATATATGTATGTATATGTTATGTTCCGTTGTTTTTAGAAATTGTTATATTTCAATGGCTTTTGAAAATAAAAAATTATCAAGTTTTTTTCGAATTAATTTGTAGTATGACAAAAGAGACGAAATAAACTTGATAAATTTAATTATTAAAATTTATTATTTAAATATAACGCTCATTTACTTCAATAGTGTCAACTTGAGAAAACTGTTTTCCATTATACATAATGAAAAAAAAAGGAAATTATACTAAATATATTATCAATAATTAAAATAATCCTGAAAATAATCAAATTATTTTTTGATTATTTTCGTTAATTTATATACATATGTACATTGACCCCTGATTATCATACTCACCATCAAAAAAGTTGAGTGTATATTGATTTTTAAAAAACTATTAGAAAATTAATAAAATTGTATATAAAATCATTTCTTGGTATTTTGGCCGCAAGATAATCGCGAGTTTTAAAAATAACACTGTGTGACACTCACTACGTGATATAATGCTTTTTTTAAACCTAGATGAGTAGATCGTTTTACCCATGATTTAAAAAATAGAAGGTTGTTTCAATTTTATTTGTTTGACAACAATGTAGATTTTTGAAGTTTATTTTACTTGTAAATATTCAAAAGGGAGCTTTGCCACATCTAGAAAATGATTTTGAGGAGTTTTTAAACAAAAATTTGTAGTTTATTAATAAAAAAAATTTTTTGTATTAACAAGAGGAACGGTAAACTATTTAGTGTTTCTTTTCCTATTATCCTTTCTCATTATTTCGAGTTAACAGAATGTGTATTAAATTCGGCTATAGCGAATCTTATATAACCACAATCAAAACATGTATTACACTTTGGAATTTCGGTCATATAATGGACTCTCCCTATCATGATTAAATTGACGGACAGACATGTCTATATCATCTTAGGGCTCATATACATACATATATATATATATACTATTTTGGTTTTAATACTACAATTATTAACAAGGGATTGATAGATACTTTATGTATATTTCTTGATGATGGGTTTAATAAACTTAACATGCGTAAATGGCTTGTTCCACAATGCAACAAAAGTTGTAATAAAGAAACATTCTTTGAGAAAAAGAACACCGAAAAATGTCATTGTTAGAAGAAGAGGCTCCTGTCTGCATCTGCATTTTGTTTTCCCATGCTTCTTGCTCTCTTAACAATTTATTAAATTGTCGCAGTAAACCTCCATTAAGTATTCCACATGGTTCGCTCCTCATTTAAAAATATTATTTTGATTGAAAATTATTTTGTTGATTAAATTGTGGTTGTTTTAAAGAAAATATTTTTGTTTGATATGAGTTTTTTGAAATATATGAAAGATTGAATTAAATATTAATATGGTAGCATTACTTTAAACATAAACTTCAAATCGCCTTAATTGTCAGATGGTTAATCAGGCTGACATAAATAGAAATTGAAACTACCTTCTATACCATGGTTTTACCATTTTTAGAATCTTCAATATACCCTAAAAATCGATAGATATTGAAAAAAACACTTTTTTTTTACTAGACAGACTAAAAAAAATTATATCTCAAAATTTTCTTAACCGATTTAATATTTTTCAACTGTTTTGAAAAGAGTTTCCTTTGTACTTTTCAAAAAGTACACAAACCCCCCTGTAACCATTTGTATCGCAATGAAACTCAACATAATTAACTATTATTTAAAAATATATCTTTTTCCCAAATTTAATGAGGATCGGCCCATGTTTGACCTATACTCCTATATAAAGCCTCATTTAGAAGATTTGGTTTTTATCAATAAATTGCTTAAATACTTTGGAATTAAGGTAAAATTCAACATAAAAGTTTCTTTGTGAAAAATAAAAATTTTTAAAATATACTCATGGTGTAGGGTGTTATATGGTCGGCCATGCCCGACTATACTTTCCTACTTGTTTAAAAATATTTTTATACCCTACACCACTTTAGTGGGGAGGGTATATTGGATGTGTGCTGATGTTTGTAACACATAAAAATATTCGTTCTATACCCACCCTAAAGTATACCAATCGGCTTAGAATCATTTTCATCATTAAGCTATGTCCGTCTGTCCGTCCGTCCGTCTGGCTCTCCATGTAAACCTTGTGCTCAAGGTACAGGTCGCAATTTTCAATATAGTTCGATGAAATTTGGTAGCCCAAGGACGAAGCCTATTGAAAATGGTTAAAATCGGTCCATTATTTCACCTAGCCCCTATACAACAGAACACCCCGAAAGGGCCTTTGAGCTCATATTTATGTTAAATATACATATATCTCGATGGAAAGCAACACAAATAAGATTTATACGACTTGATGACCTTGCCAAATTTCATAAAAATCGGACCTCATTTGACCCTAGTTCCCATACAAAGTCCGCTTCAGAAAATGACTTGAATGTCCAAAATTCACATATAAACACTAATATCGCGATGAAATCCCTCACAAATAAATATTATATAACAATTAGGAAAGTATAGTCTTTTATGTTGAATTTTACCTTAATTCCAAAGTATTTAAGCAGTTTATTGATAAAACAAATTTTCTAAATGAGGCTTTATATAGGAGTATAGATCAAACATGGGCCGATCCTCATTAAATTAGGGAAAAGGATATATTTTTAAATAACAGTTAGTTTTGTTGAGTTTCATTGCGATACAAGTAAATTTTAGACGTTTAAGACATTTTTTGTATGGGGGCTAGGGTCAAATAAGGGCCGATCATTACGAAAATCTGCAGTGTCATTTATACTTATATAAAACTTATTTGTGCCAATTTTTAGAGAGACAATAGTATATTTAACGTAATTATGGCATAAAAAGCTCAAATCGGGAGGTACGGTTGTATGGGGGCTAGGTGAAGTAATGGACCGATTTCAACCATTTTCAATAGGCTTGTGCCAAAAAACATGCTTGGTCCAAATTTCATCAAATTATCTTGAAAATTGCGGCCTGTACCTTGCGCACAAGGTTTACATGGACAGCCATGTCTTAATTGATTAAAAAAATGATTCTGAATCGATCGGTATACTTTAAGGTGGGTGTAGGACCAATATGTTTGTGTGTTACAAACATCAGCACAAACGTATAATACCCTTCCCACTATAGTGGTGCAGGGTATAAATATAAATCTATTCACAAAATATTATCGAGATCGGTCCATATTTGACCCAAGCCCCCATATAAACCATTTTTCAGAAAATTAGTTTTTCGTCCATAAATTGCTTAGATGTTTCGGAAACAAGATAAATACTTTATTATGAAAAATAAATCACATTTAATATTCATAACTGGTGTAGGGTATCAGAGAACGGTTTGAATGCTTGGTATGAATGGTTTCAATGCTGATTGAATAAGTTGTAAGAAA